GCTCAAAATCTGAGTAGATGTCTTCGGAATTTAGATAGTGTGGGTGTACTGGGCATCCCCAAAAAAACACACCCAAGTAACTACTAAGTAGGGCCTCAAAGGGAAAATGTTTTGGGGAAACGTTTTGGGAAACTGCTGGTTCGGGATTTGCGGAAGTTCCCCAGGGTTGGGACCGAAGTCGGCATGAATCCCCACCCAACATGAGGTCCACTAAAGGGTCCCCTATTAACATTCACATCCAGATTACTGGGGTCTTCTCCATTATTTAGGACATGGGCCATCTGATATATTTTTTGGCCGAATCTGGGCCAAGTCAAACCTGGGTAGAGACTATCTCCTTGTCATAAAGGTGCTGACATCCGCCCTTTTTATTTGTTCGGTTTTGGGTAGGCCCCACCACCAATTTGAATTGTTCGTGAAAGCGGGGCCTTGTTCAAACTCGCCATAGAGAATGGGGGGGGGGGTTCCCCCAACATGTTGCAGTTATTTCCAACTTCTAAGGGTGTGGGCGAGATCAGCGGCACTTGGACCTGGAGCAAAGCGCAGTGAGGGGGGTTCGAAAACCAACTGATTTCGGGGAGCAGGCATCGCAAAAAGCTCCTCCTGGCGGCTGCCTTTGTAGGTAATCAATGTGTTACATGGTGCCCAAGCTCGCCAGCATTTGTAGAGGAAACCCTCTTTTGGGAACGCCAGTTTTAGGTTCCATGTTACATTGCAGGCGAGTACCTCTAGTTTTCAAATGAGTTACCCTGCTAAGCGAAGGTTTTCCGGGAGTCCCAACCAAGGTTCGGCCACCTTGGGACTCCCGCCTCAGCAATCTCCCTTAAGGTCACGGGGAGATTGCCCGGGGGAGGTGGTTTCGACCCTATGGCATGTCTTCCACGTAAGTCCAAAGGTTGGTAGGGCCTTGTAGAAGGGGGGGTTGAGCCTTAGATTGTGGACCTTGGTTTAAGGCTAGGGGGGGGAGTGTTTCAGGGGGGTTCCCTTTTCCCGACTTTTTTTTTGACACCAACTTGGCTTTGGTGTTCCCCGATTGGAAAGGCTTCCCCAGGTCCGCAGGGAGATCGATCTCGCCGGGCTCAGATCTGTAGATCGCAGGCCAAGGGCCCCAGCTTCTCGGAGTTCATCGCCGCGGTCAGGGCCTGCGACCAGGTCGCCACCGCCGCCTCCACGGCGGCGCCTCGGCGCGCGGACTCGCGTCGAAGCGAAGGGCGCGTTGGTTGGGGGGGGGGAGGACGGTGCGTTGGCGAAACCTTTACCTGGAGTCTCCAGGACCCTTTAAAGATGGTTGGTCATTACCCAAAATAATGGGGTGCTTGACGCATTTTTTTTAATTTCGGGTCATGGAGACTCCAGGTAGAAACTCGTGGATGGGAGGGGTGTGTGGAAAGTCTACAAGTCTGTGGTGCATTTGCTGGCGCTCGGGGAATATGGGCTGAGTTGGCCTCCAAAATCAGCGCATGCACCAACCGAAGTCACCCGATTTGACCGGGAAATGAGGTTTTGACCAAACATCCTGAGTCTATACTATCCGTTGAGAGGGACCTGCTCTCTCTCTAGTTTCCAATTGCCTGTGAGGGAAACCCTCCACGTTCATGGAGGGGTGGGATAGTGGAAACCCTTGTAGCGAGGGGTCCCAGGCATTTCGTTTCGGGGGCTGCGCCTATGCCTGGATACGGCTTGGAAGAAAGTCCCAAGCCTTGAACGGGTTTGTTCTTGGCTTCTGCTGGGCTATGAGTTCAAACGGGAAGCACCCTCAAGCAGTCTCAAGCGGTCGGACATAGGTAAAGACTCCTCCACTTAACTGTATACTCATTTAGGGTGTGTGTTTGGGTGAATACAGAGTGGTGTGTGAATTGTTTATTTTTGCCCTTTTTGGGAGTCTTCGAAACATCTCCAAGCCCATTAAATACTCATGTTTCAAGCCACGGTCTTGGGGAGCAGAATGGCCTCATCAAGGGAGCCCGAATTGAGCTTTGAATTATTTGCCGAGTCTCATAAAATGCAGGGGCATGCATACACGTAAAGATAAGCATATATATATGTACCAGCCCCTGGGCCACGTACCCCCCCCCCCCCCCTTTCAATGGTATGGTCCCCCCACTCCCCCGCATCATCCGCATCTTGGGGATGATGCTGGCAATGCTGGGGATGCTGTCCAGTACCGTGCGAGCCCTGCAGCTTCGGTCCCAGACCCCCTTTCACCCCGTGAACCAACACCCCCGCACCTCTCGCAACATCCTACCCTAAACCAAACCACCCTTTAACCCCAACCCTAAGCCTAAATCAACCCAAACCCCAAACCCACCCGAAACCCACCGCAAACCAACCCTGAACCAACCCTGAACCAACCCTAAACCAACCCACCAAGCCTAAACCAACTCCGAACCACACCCAACCACCCAACCACCCCACCACCCAACCACCCCACCACCCCACAACCCCACCACCCCCCCCCCCCCCCCCCCCCACCCCCCCCCCCCCCCCCCCCCCCCCCCCCCCCCCCCCCCCCCCCCCCCCCCCCCCCCGGGGGGGGGGGGGGGGGGGGGGGGGGGGGGGGGGGGGGGGGGGGTCCACGGCCTGGAACATATATATATATATATATATATATCCATACATGTGCACGCATACATGGACTTGTCACGTATGCAGGGGCCTTAAGATGCTGCAAGTGGAGATGTGACCACAGAGAAATCTTTCGTTGCCCCCCTACCTGGGGCATATGCGAGCATATCAACCTTGAGAACTTTCCATAACCGACACAGCCAGCCAATTGGATTGAAGCACCACTGGAAGTTGCGTTGATGCAGGAAGCTCAAATGAGTATGTGTCAGCAAGGGGACCTCCAACAAATGATTAGTTTCCTTTGGGTTCCCTTCATTCTCAGGCAACAAAGGTACCTTCAAACAACACACACGTACAGACTTACACATATATATATATATATACCCAGGGCATCCAAAGACATGAGTAAACAACGTCTCATACGTCTTTATAGAGTAAACATGGTGTTGGTAAATTTCACGCTCATTCACGCTGTTCACGTTTGCACCTCTTGTACTGCCACTGCACAGTAGGACATCACCACCGCATTTTGAGCCAGATTGGTGTTGATATTGTGTGCGTAATTTCAACTGGGCTAAAGCGTTAACCGTAGGTCGCTTGTCTTGACTCTTAATAAGTATCCACTTGGGCCACCATTTTGGCTCAAGTGGACCTTTTATCCTTTGTCTTGTGATTTGAAATCTTTCTTTCCCCTACTCTCAAAGCCATGTACGCCCCCGCCTACGCTGGTGCCGCGGCAGCAGAGGCCAAGGCTAAGGCAAAGGCCTCCATGGCAAAGTACCTGGCGAACCTCGTGAAGAGGGAGGAAGAAGGATGGACCATTTTGGCTGCTGAGGTCCCTCAGGCACCTGACGAGCGTTTCTTCTCCAGCGCAGATGAGCTGGAGCAGGCCCCTTCCTTTCCTTCTCCTCCTTCCTTCCCTCTGGGGTGGCGCAGGTGCCGAAGGCCCTGACACGCCCCTCAGGGGCGTTCCTGGAGCTCCTGAACCCGCCGGAGGAGGACGTGCCCATGGAGGAGCTCCTGAGAAGGAGCTGCCGACGCCCAGTTTCCCCTCGGCTGCAGCCAGCTTGGAGGAGGCCCGCCTGGATGCCCGGGCAGACGCCAAGTGGCAGAGGCGCCGGGAGCTGATGGCGAAGGTCAAGGAGCAGGCGTCCTCGGAGGAGGATGAGAACCCCGCAGCCCCCCCGCCGGGGGGAGCGTGTTCACCAAGGCCCTCAAGGTCTCGGAGGGCCTCTACCAGTTCAGCGACGACCAGATGGCGGGCGACTTCCTTCGATGCGACCACGGCCACTAGGCTCCGCCGACGGCAGGCCAAGGACGTCCAGCGGCTCCTGCGAGGCTTTGAGGGCCCCCAACTCAAGCAGGGGGGCCTGGAGCGCGTTGTGGAGGCCTTCTACATCGCCAAGATGAAGTACGAGCATGAGGCCCGGCTCAGCACCCCGGGACAGCAGGTTGGCAAGCGCGCTGGCTTGGGGTACGGGGGCCTGGAGAACCGCCCCCTGGCTTTCCGCTTCTCCAGGAGTTGTTTGTGTTCGTCAACGTTGAGCATGCCGAGTTTAATGGAGAGCCACTTTAAAGTGCCCCACCACTTCTGGAGCTTCGCCGGGGTGACCTCCAACGTGACCGCCTGGTTCATGAGGTGCCGGACGTCGCCGGCCGTCCAGGGGAGGTTCTGGAAGCCGATCTTGCGCATGCCCTCATAGGCCCAGCAGTGTGCCCGGATGGTACGGAACCGGGCATCACCAAAGAGGTGGCCAAACTCCTCCAGCTCCCTGGCCCCCATCACCTGGTGCATGTAGGGGATCTGGTGCCGGGAGGGGATGAAGTATCCCAGGAGGCGTTCCAACCACCTGGCCCTCAAATTTTTTTCCAACGCTCTCTGAGATGTCGGCAATTGGGTCTTGATCTTCCCTGGTTTCCAATGCCGCCACTTGTTGGCCACTGCCAGGACATCCGGGGCCTCAATCGATCCGGAAAGGATCCACTCTTCGCGGTCCCGGATGGCCTGTTCCATTTCCAGTGGAGAATAGGTGTGCACGAAACAGAAGTTGTTGCAGGGTCTTAGTAGCGAGCTCCAAATCCGCCTCCTCCAGCGGTTGTGGTTGGGAGCCGAGTATCCTCGCGAGGATCAAGTTGTAGGTGTCCGAGGCCACCAGGACGTGGTTGCCGTCAGGTGCCAGCCCCATCCGTGTCCACGGCCGCGGGTCAAAGACCACCGCATCCGGGTTGGCGACCTTGTCCTTTTTGACCCATTCCAGGCAGCACGCCACGAGGATTTCCCCGTCCGACTGCACTGGTGCAAATCCAAGGTCATGCAAAATCAACTGGAGCGCGGTTGGCGCCCCAGGAAGGTCGTCCCAAACGGGGAAGGGAGGCGGGGCCTCCACATCATCATGATCCACTCGAGCCGGGGGCCTAGTCCCTAGGTGCAAACC